GTAGCCTAACAGAACAAACCACAGTCCGAATTCGTCAATGTTCCTAATTGATAAAACGGTGCAAGTCGATGCGTCAGCGACCGATAACACTACACACTCTATGTGATGATTCCGCTGAACTCTACTTGAATTTTTTCCACGACCCTTGTTTTTCCGGGATTTGCCACCTTTACACTGATCACAAGCTGTCAAGGAGGTTATTCAGTTAACGGAATTCAGTGTATACAGTTTGATAAAATCATTTCGAAATCACTGGTGAGCAACTTAGCAATCGTAAAATATTCCCATTAATGAATAAGAACAAAGTGGAAACGAGAAGATATTTCTTTTTGGTGTATCGTTCCAGGCATTCACATATACAGTACGATTGATCACCATACCTTTTGCAAACCAAGATGTCTGAGCATTATTGCAAGCTGTCTCGTTGACCTCATCGGCGCTGACAAGCCTCCCAGCGATCTCTGGATGACCACCATACGGCACAGATTTCTCTACCTCACGTTGCAGCACGGGGACGATGGTGAGACGTGCCTCGATCACACATGCCCCCATTCCTATGACATACATATTGGTTGTTTTCCTTGCAAGTACGCGTACACGTCTATCTGTGTGTGTCTTCGTCCCCCTCCGCTGATACCAATGAATAATGTGCGATCAACGCTTGAGCCATTACTTACCTCCGTAGCATGATGCTGCGATAGAGTTCATAAGCTACACCGCAAGGGGTTGCACTGGGACAACAATCGACCATACTCAATCGATATACGCATCAGTGTTGACGCAGAGCTAGACAATTTTGGTGACGCGGTTTATGTGGCGCTGATCTAAATTTCGCAGAAAAGGTGTTCTGAGCTCCTAATACTTACAAGTTATCGAACATTATTACAATTTCTGTTTGTTGGTGGGTTCGATAATCACTATTTTTAAGAACGACCACGGTGGTGTTCCCAACCTGAATCGAGAAATGGGACAATGACAATATGATTGTTCGAAGTCAGTTTGTAGTTACTAATTGTGAATGTCATAGATTAACCTAAATTCACCCGGTTTAGTTTGTCGCGTAGAAGCGTTTAAGTAAGACTATATGATTTCCATGTTAAAGATTAGCGAATTCGGAGTCCATACTCAGAAAAGTACATTTTTGAAAACATTCCAATTTTTGAACTTGCATCTTCATCGAAAATTCCGTAACTATTATGAAATTCATCGCATATTTCGTCAGCCCTCGTTACGTTATTTCTATTGCAGTTAGTTTGATGGAGATATTTCATTCTGTGTCAGCAAAAAGAACTTCATGATATTCTCTCCCTACCCTGGTGATATTGGTTCTTTTACCCCTCCCTCTTTTATGTTTTGTCTGTTTTTAATGTATTTTGCTTTACTTTGTTGCTATGCTAAAGCCCTATATAAACATTGTATTTTCTGCAGTATGCACCATGTAGAGATGCAGCGAAATCGTCCTGGACATAAATCGTGCAGTGTTGAATCTGGTCAACACTGATACGTATATCGATCGAGCATGATCTATTGGTGTCCCAGTGCAACCGCTTGAGGCGCAGCTTATTAATTCTATCGCAACATCATGTCGGTTTGGTTAGGCGTGAGTCAGCGCTTTTCCCCCGTCTGATATCAGAATACACTCGTCCACTCACAGAGTACGCTATTCTAGGCATGGAATCTATGGGTACAACGTGATTGCAAAATACTGGAGCATCTACAAAGGATGACCACAAAAATGGTTGAGGGGTTGAATCGCCATTCATATGCAGAGAGGCTGGAGTCGTTGGGGTTATATTCCGATCAATACCGACTCATCAGAGGAGATATGATTGTGGTATATCAAACAATGTAAAACCCAAGCCATCCGTGTCGCCCGCTGTTAAAATTATCACTCAATGTTCATCTTAGAGGACATCCGTTCAAACTAGTGGTCTAAAAATACCGATCGATATGGTGGCATCGGCTATTTGCAGTCAGAGTGTGCTCGATCTGGAACTCTCTCTCGCCCCACATCGTCTGTGTTCCGAGCATTGAATCTTTCAAACTGAGACTTGATGAAGCATTAGCACACCTTACATTCCAACATAAGTGAAGCTGCGTGCAGCAGTGAAAGAGGCATGTATCATGTGACATTTTACACAAGGAATCGTATGTATCACTGTCTTTTAAACACAAAACGAACTTATAGGACGAGAAAAGCAAGAGCTTGTAAGTTATTCCCATAATAAAACTTTGAAACTTTACTTCGGAGATAAGCAATGGCTCAAGCGTTGATCGCACATTATTCATTGGTATCAGCGGAGGGGGACGAAGACACACACAGATAGACGTGTACGCGTACTTGCAAGGAAAACAACCAATATGTATGTCATAGGAATGGGGGCATGTGTGATCGAGGCACGTCTCACCATCGTCCCCGTGCTGCAACGTGAGGTAGAGAAATCTGTGCCGTATGGTGGTCATCCAGAGATCGCTGGGAGGCTTGTCAGCGCCGATGAGGTCAACGAGACAGCTTGCAATAATGCTCAGGTATCTTGAAACGATACTCGGACAACTTGGATTGCAAAAGATATAAAATAATACACAGCCTAAACTGGTGTTGGCTGTGTGTGTGTGTGTGTGTGTGTGTGTGTACGTAAAATATCCAGTTGAGTACAAGCTACGGGGTAGTGATAAGTGGATAGGGACCAGTATCGTAGGGAAGTGGACACCGTATGAATGCCGATCGTTACCCTTCGTTTTCCTGTTCATTCATCGTGACCCCATAGATTTTTATCAACCGAATATTTTACACACACACATCTGGCACCAGCTTAGACATTATATTAATCTAGTGACTAATTGCAATATATATCTAGATGCCTTAAGCGATCTAACGAAAAGTAATTAGCAATCGGCAGATTTGACTTACTTTTCTCACTTTTTCGTAAAATTATTTTCCTTCTCAATGTTGCTGGATTCTGCTTTTCAAGGATGTGTTGTACATCAAGGACGTTTTTTAAGTACATGTGTTCTGTCGGTCTGATATAATTGCATTGTCAACAACCTCTGGCCCCTTTGAGAATTTTTGAGCAAGTCACTATGCGTATCATGTCACAGCTCGTGATCTGTCGTCGCCAATTTATTCCAAAGCCCTTTGTAGATTTTAGGAAATACAGATTTCCTTGTTTACTTGAGAGTAGTGGAGAATTTGATTTGATTTAATTATATGCTGAATTTCGTCTAGTGCAAATGTGACTTAAACTGAAAAGCTAAGAAGCCCCTGTTTCACCTGTTTGGGTCCTCGCCACAGTGCGACTCTATCAACCCAAAGGTTGATTCGCAGCCCGGGTTTGTTGGATTATTCCATGTACTTGATTTAAATTATTGGGGGTGAACGGAGCCAAGTAGATTTGTCGATACTGCCACTGAACGTTAATCGATGGGCTACTCTAATATTCAATCTGAAACTATAAAACTATAACTATAAAATGTTTTTCTCGCAGGCCTTATGTTTGAACTGCAGAAGTTTAGCTTCAGATCATAAAACGATCACGTTAATCCATTCATTCCCTTTCACTTACAGCTCTATCACATTTTTGTTCCCACTGTATCCACGACTGAATAGCCTTGACAATGTAGATCGTCTGTCATAATAAGTAGTATGTGAATGCCTGGACAAATTTCTCTGGAAGCACACCACCGGTTTTGCGGTTCTTGCCGTTCTTCAGGCATGCGTATCCCGTAATCTTTTGTCACAGACATCTTGCATAGCACTACTGGCCTTTTTCAAATTTATTCGGGGAAATCATTGCTTCAAAATCTTTTGTCAGTTCATTCATATAATTGTACCCAGGAAGTGTATTTTCGCCACAATAATCTTGTTTGCAACAGCAGGTGACTTTTAGATAGACAGCTCTTTCAGAGTCAGTCCATGGAAGAATCAATGCCATGTCTTTACAGAATAGTTCATAATAAGTAGATCGTCTGCGTCACCGCTTTCTCGATGTATAAACCGTGTTTCCAACTGGTGGACTGTAAATTTTCGCTTCAGTGACACGTACTATGCTGTCGGTCAGTTGTTCTCATGTCTCAAATGTCTATACACTACGCATGTTTCACAGTGGACCGCGACGATTCATCCTGGGTCACATTTTTGTGTTCTGCGTGAGCTAGTCGGTCAAACGGCACATCCATTCATTTAACCGATTGGCTCGATGACGGTCAAACTATAGGCGGTAAGTAGGTGTGAACGAGTTCTGCATAGCATACGCACTGACACGGGTGACAAAAAGAACGCGCAAGCTCGACATGGGCTATTTAGTCCAGGCAAGGTGGTCGTGGTGAGTTTCGAGGGCGCGGGTACATGTATTTACGCACTTGTGTAGGTGCGACAGCGGCAACTGATTGGTTGGATTAGAAGAGAGACAGTCGGAGAGGTAATTTGGAAACAAAATGTTACTCCGCGTCAGTGTTTACAAGCCCGAAGAGATGTGCATACAAACACCATAACGGTTCCGCAAAGGTCCACTATCTGAATAGAACTGATGCAAGGGGGTACCGTGAGTTTTTCGTGGGTGAAGGCGAGAGGTTGGTGGGGGGAGAGTATTTGGTTGAACAGTGAGCGAGAGGGGCAAATGATAGAGCGATGGTGACGCATTTTAACCAAGTGACACGCGCCGCGGGGAAGTGCGCGCGCGCGCGCGCGTGTGTGTGTGCATGCGTGCCACCGCAACGACCAACCAAACAACAGGACACGGTACGAATAATCTGTCTGAAAAGTAGTACCACCGCCGCCGCCGCCGGTGGTGGTGGTGGTGGTGGTGGTGGTGGCGGCGGCGGCCGATTCAGGAGCACCACAAGAAAACAGATTGAGGTCTAACTGTCTCGTAAAAGCCACAGTACAGCCAGCGGAGTTCCGTTATTTTGTGTGTTCTTTCCTAGTCCGGTACAGAGACAAATCAGACGAAGGGTTACATACGTATAGTAGCAATTTTCGTTCATTTTGTGTCACGCACCCAATGAACTCTAGTATATACATTCTGTCGGATACGACCGCTTCGAGCTTTGCCCACTATGACACAAATGGTAATGGGTCAACAACCGGATGCAATGGAAATACCGTTGAAGATGGTTTGGCAGTGACGACTACCACGTTCGATACACTTAATGATCGGACCGGCGCAAGTCATCCGCCTGTCCACTTTGATTCAGGCCAGTCTGCATGCCTGAATACTTTCGTGCTACCTTCAGCACCGTTGACCACATGGTTCAGACCATCAACCGCAGTGGAAAATCATGTGGACCAGGTCGAAGTTCACACCTATCCGTTTAGTGAATTAAATTCCACACAGTCGAATCCATGTTCACGACAGGAATCGGGTGATTCGGATCAATCGAATTCCAAGCTCCTGTGTACAAACGAGACTTCCTTGACGCAGGTGCATCCCGTTTCCGCGCAAGATACGAAGCCAACTGTATCCCGAATGTCCTGTGTCTCACATGTTCTGACCGACACTGGATCCTCTATGGAATACGGAAATGAGGACTGTGATACAAAGGGTCACTCAGTTCATTCCTACGCAGTGGTCATAAACAAACCGGAAGCAGAGGCAAATTGCCAATCAGTACAAAGTTCGATGAGCGATATGGGTTTGAGCGGGAACAACATCCACAGTGCGGAATCTTTTGGGTGAGTTCTTGGACCTTGAGGGTAGTGCCAATTTGGTAATTTTTAAATTGTAGATGTTATATAGTATTCCTTGAAATCAAGTTAACGATTGATTTAAGTAGACATGTGATCTGCGGTGTGGATGCGTTTTGTCGTGTACCAATGTGCTGTACACTTGAACAATCAAATTAATTTAGTGCAAATAATCTGCCGGATCATTCAAGAATAAGCACAACATAGATGGATGGATGGATAATGGTTAAATCCTCTTGTAGTTGACGGTCTCTGGCATGGGTCTAGTTCATCTTCTTCTCACACAAATGGGACCTCACGATTGTTATACTTGGCTATCGTAGTAATATTCAACGCGTTCTTATTGGGTCGGATGCTCAAAACTATTTGAATACTTCAAATTTTATCACTTTTCATTACTATTATCAAGCGATCGCAGCCTTTAGGAGATAGATATTAGAGCCAAGAAATAACATGTGGTCGATCTTGCCTATTTCCCACTATTCTTACCGCAAATATATCCGCACTAAGGGCGAGTGCTTCCTTCGAAATCCCGGATTGCAAAGCTAAGATAATTGGGGNCCCATAAAGTTGAGATTGCAGTTGTTACGAATCGATTCACCTCGCTTTGTTTTACCTTGCATCAGTATATACCTTTTTGTCCTACTCCATTCTCACTGCAAGCATTGTGATACCTATACTACTGATATGCGAAGTACGTAATGAATGCGAGAAGCATGAATTGATATGATTCAAGCACAATCCGGTAGGCTATTTCTGCTGGTTAGTGGGCCTGAACGTTTGGATAATTACCTGCATATACATGTGAACCAACAGGACATACAATTGCTGGTCAGAGATTAGCGCTCCGCCTTCAAAGTTCCACTGCCTATTGATTGACATTGAAGTTGTGAACAGTTGCTCGTAAATTGCTGTAAAAAATCGGTCTATTCAAACAGTTCGTAAAATTTATCCGCTCCGTATGACAAAACGATAAAGTCTAAACTGTCAAAATTTGAGAGATCGATTAATTTACGAATGATACTTTATTGCGTATTTGGCTTGGCATGTAAATTGGTTACGAATTTACACCCAGTGAAGTGATCTGTGGACATAGATGTGCATGCGTGAGTCGCCCTCGGTTACTCAAATCATGTGCTTATTACTATGACGATGTTTATGTAAATGCGGTATATGGTACTTGATTTTTGGTAGCAGTACTGCCGATTAAGCCAGTGATGAAGCCACGAAACATTTAAAGTTTGTCACCACGTAAGCCCCAGTAGTGATCGCAGGTGTTAGTGCACTGCTCTACCTCGAAGTGGACATTATCAAGACCAAACGGTTCAATGCACGTGGAAACAATTCGAAGGGTTTCCAGTCAGCGGAATTAACTTTGCATCAAGAATGTTTATCCGTGATTATCATCGGAACATCCCCTACTGGGAAACTGTTTTCCAATTAAATCCCACAGGTTTTCTTCAAGTGTCAACTATTTTCCCCCGTTGTTTTTATAATGTCGAGCCAGTCAACACCCCATGAATGAGGTGACTACATCTTATTTCCAACTTTTTATACCACCGGTTGATTACGCAATCAATTCATCCTAACTGTTCGCAGGCTAAGCATTTGCTGATCACAAGAGTTCCAATACGCATAGCAGAGTAAGTTGCATGCTTCGATACAATAATGCACATCTTCAGTTGAACGTATTTATATACAGTCCATTCGAATTCAAAGTCACCGGAATCAGGGTATGATTGGCTTTATTTTATCGGATTTTCATAAATCTGGTTTATGAATGGTTGTTGTTGTTGTTGTTGACAATGAACTTCACCCATTTCGGATTATGAGACCTAGGTAGGTTGAAAATGAAAAAGTAACCTACATCTCATACATCACATTTATCCAATGGGTCATCATCCATTCCTTGGTCACATGCAGTATCGAAACATCTACAGAATGTTAAAAATTTGGCCCCAGTTTTCCATCCATTCGGATAAATAAAGCGATTGTTGACTTGGCTTGTAAATAAAACGTAAACCCCTAGCAACCATGTTTGTTTCTCATCCACACATTAACAGAATCTTACCAGTCCATGCTGAAAGTTAAACGAAATATGACAAGATCGTCCGGAATCCAAGCTGGCATCGGTCTGTGTTCAATCAACGAAAGTCCATAGCCAATCATTTTACACTGTAGACCGGGATGTGTTGAACACGAAAGAGTTGGATATTCTGCATGCTAACTTAATTGTCCGAAGAGCTTCAGCTTTTATGGATTGGTCATGAAATCATTAGACAAAGGCATTCAGTAGTTATTGACTTTTAATTTACTAAATATATTTATTATTGACATTTACTGAAGCCTAATTTATTTATGAAAGTTTATTTACTATCGGGAAACACACTGAAACTTTAATACCGTCATTTAGACCAACGCTCATTCACATTTTTGGACGAATTGAAACAAGGTTGATTGTAGCTGTTATCCTGGTTTAACTTGTACTTCATTAGATTACCGACAAGTGCGCAATGATGATAGACTGTAATGTGTGAGGACAATTGTCCGAAGAAATTATGATTGGTCCTTTCAGTGTTTGCTACATTGAACTAATACTGTTGGCACTTCAGTATGCCATGTTACACAATAAGTGTTAGTTTAATTCATGCATTGGTGTTAATAATTTTGCTCGTTCCATCCCTTTCACCCCGATCCCTTCACGCATTGGATTCACGAATGACTATGAACAAGCAACTGGTTGTATTTATCAGTGTTTAACTGTCTTTATGTTGTCGGGCTCGAACCATAGTTAGATGAGTAATAGAATAAATCCAGTTGTGAAAAGATTAACTATGTCGTGGGGTTTCGAACTCATGCATGTACACCGTGTACAATCAAAGCGTTATACGGAAGCGCATAGATCAGGTAACAGAACACACTCCTCAACGAAGTGTACACGTCATCCCAATAGGTTCGAATGCCACTGAAGCGCTAGATTCTATAAAAATTAAAACAGGTAAAGAATTTATTGAAATCACCTAACGAAAGAGACTAAAACTAAACTGGATTAATCGATTAAAGAGCACATAACCTGGTGGATTGGTGATGCTCTATGGTGATATTTATATTATATAGTTTACACACGTTTGAAGCCAAACAAATAATGGTACAATAATTTTTAGAAAAAAATGTTCCATGATTTGCATGCGGACGAATACTGCCAGGTTGCACAGTCCAAAGCAGGTGAATTTTCTTAGGGAATCCATAATCGGAGCCTTCGGCTAGCCAAAGCCTAACCCGCAAGGCAGCGGGGCGGTGTGATAACCACAGTCCATTGGTGGCTAGTGGCCAGTTCATCGGATCATACGCTCTTCAGACGGGGTCAAAAGTCCAAGGTGCTCAAGACACCTTGATGACCAGTGCCACAACCGGCAGGGTGTGTGTGGTTCGTATGCCTCTTCTTGGTTGGTTTGGAATCAGAGTTTTTAGCCAACTCCCACAAGTGAATTGCCAAAGATTCACCGACCCGTTCAAAGCCCCGGATGTCAACCTTTCGTTGTCTCACTTTGGTGGCAAAATACGAGAAGGCAGTGAGTAGGGCTTCCTCAGCAGAGGCTATTTGAAACGCTTGGCCATACAGGAGTATTTCGCGAGGTGCAAGGGAAGGGTGATCAGTCGTAGCCCTAGACACCCACCCCCGACCATATTTAGGCTTTCGGAGGCTCTATTGTGACAGTCCTGTAGATCACCCATATAACGCATATAACATTGAATCAAAGTTTTTTCGAATAGCATGAAGCAGAACACGAAGTGTATTGATAGATTAGTAACAGAATTTTGATGCTTATTACCCAAGAGATATCACTTGGAATAATCCCCTTTCCCCAAATAAATTGCTTTTCAAATTGACAGATTAGCATTAAATCAAATCGGAATTTGTGCGGAATTAATTGGTGATAAATGCATCAAACCATCGCCGATTTGGTTGCCCGTAACTGTAAATTTCCGATCCATTCCATTCACAGTCGGCATTTTTTGGTTTACTCTAGACTGAACAGGGAGTATATATGGTAGCTACTATTTATCTCGCACTGGATTTTAGTACACATTATCAAGAAAATAATCTTGAAATTCCAAATAATATTCACAGTATTGTTCTTGTTTGACTAGCCGTACGGTTTGGATGATTTTCTCGCATTCTTTGTTTCCATAGTGCAGTTGGCCTTTCATGGCCATTCTCCGCCCTGATCGAACCTAGAGCTATAAACATGGAATTGATCCGTGATGATATACATTCCGTCTGATTTGTGTTATGCACTTGTAATGGAATTCACAATCCTAGTGATTAAAATAGCCCACAGTCCACGCATTCCTGATGAATTTTACGTCAGTTGAGGTTATTTTTACGGCCCCTCTGCGTGTGTGACAAACGTGTTCCGCTTTTTTACGTGTACACGAACTGACATTCGAGAGGCTGAAACAATCATGGATATATCCCACATGTATTTTTGCAATGAAAATCCCTACCTAGTATGTGAAGATTGGATAGATGTGGGGAGGGGGTGGGTGAATGTGTGGAGGACTTCAGTCCACGTCTACGATACCTCTGCCACAACACGGTTCGTTCTCGATTATTATGGGGAGATGATGATAGGTGGTCATCGCCAGGGGGCATCACATCCAGTCACAGTTGACCTTTCTAGCAGGTGTGAAGTGGTCCACAATGTATCGTTTATGCATTACTATCCACATGACAAATGTTCTGTGGAGCGGGGTGGGGGTGATGTCCAAATAATCCCGTTTGACCTCGCCCGAACCGTGAACTCGCGTTGTCTGTTCTCCGATGTGCTTGACATAAGCGTTGTATAAGTCGCATATCATAGACTTTGTGTTGTCTTTAAGTGTCATGCTAACATCGAATTCCACCCACTCTAAAATACACGATTTCAAAAAGGGTAATCTGATTGTTCGGGGTTCGGGAGTGGGGTGTGGCAGAGTGGTTGATGAGATTTCAATCCGATTTGTCTAATATGAATTCTTATGTCAGTTGGTTAAATCTCCCCCTGTTCTCCATGATTATCTGTGCGCTTCGTGTAAGATGTTGGTTTGAAACGAATCACAATCGTGGCGTTTAGGTTCACCGGCTAATTCTGGTTCGATCACGTAAGGGGTAGTCGTATTCCAATGTGTTTCGATTTGTTTGATTTGACAAACTGGGTAGGATCGTCACGACAAACAGTGTACCAAGGTAATGTGACTTCGCATGAAGCAGATGAGCATTAAATCCTGATTATGCCTTATTCAGATGGTTTCGTATTGTTCCTACTGTTGATGGGAGGATAGAATGCGATTCTGCAGTTCATAAGTGTACCTTATGATTATGAGGTGAACATATATCAACGATTTTATTATATAGTGGTGATTAATGAAACACTCCTGAAAATGTGAGCTACCCATAAAAGGACAAATCAGATTAGGAGATGAAGCTGCAGTTTCTTTTTGTATGGTCAATTTCCTGAACACCTGATCGAGTACGAGCAGATAGTTCACAACACAGAGTTTGTGTCATCTGCAGTGTACTTGAACGAAGTCCCCTTTCACCATTCTTGCTTAAAATAGCGTTCGATGAACGTGCTGACATAATGATTTGCTACAGAAAAGTTAGTCGCGTATACAATACACAAATGCGAAGCTCACTCACAGGAATGATGGTTCTATTCGTTCCGTGCTCTACCTCATCAAAAGCAAACGCTATGGATCGAATGGAAGCTTTATGGCAATTGTGTGCACGCACACTGATGACGCCATGAAATAAATAATAGCACACTTATCTCGGGTTAGAACAGAACATGCTACACGTCTGGGGTGGAGAAACGTACATATCTAATGAGAATATGAAGCAGCTATTTCACTTGATTTAATCGTGATGTATACTTGGCGGTATTTATCGATATTTCGTCAGTAATTCATTATTACCTGCCCACCGAACAGGGTGATTTGCTGGTGAACGTATGTTCATACGACGTGTTATCTTCAGCGCTTATGGCTTGGGCTAAGGGAAGCAATTTTCCAGAAATCAAATCACTTGTTGAAAGCTGAACACCTTTTGGCTGGTATGCAGCACTGTGAGCGGCCTCGCTGAATTAAGTTAAAAATCCAGCAGGTGGAAGTTATTTCATCCGAAATTTATCTTCTCAATGATTGAATATCCCCAAATCTAGCCATTTTTATGTAGCATTCTGGATTTGGTTTATAGTTACTGCCTCAGGGTAGGGGAAGACACGCAAAAGCCGACGAATAATCAGCAGGCGAAGGTGTTTTTGCAATGACTGTTTTAAAGTGATTGTGGTGGCAGAACGGTCACCATTTCACGAAATGGCATCCATCTGTCCAACGGAACATTATGAAAATTCACTTGAATATGAATATAAAGAAGCCGAAAGGTATAATGTGAAACGATCAATACACGTTATATAAATTATTCTTAAATTTCAGGCCCCAAATAAACATCCTTCAAACAGCAGAAAATGAATCCAACGATCTGTCTGATACCAATGGTTCCTCAAACGCGGTGGAATGTCCAGAACGAAGCATGTCAATACCGGCGTACGCAGATTTCATTCGGTCTAAGAACTGTAGCCATTTGACTACGAACAAAGCCGAACCCCTGGTCACAAACGATGCTAAACGCTCGTTCAGTTCGAAGACGAATGCACTGTCCAGTTTCAATCAATCCGGGCTACGTAAAAACAAAACAGATCGCGCGGATAGCACACGATCCGATAGGGTCAGTTCGACGGAAACATACAGTTCTTTGTCCCGTTCCTCGTACATGTGCCGCAAGTGTCGAGCGCATGGGAAACGTTTGGCTGTGAAAGGACACAAGCGAAATTGTCCGTTTCGTAACTGTACCTGTGCTGTTTGCTCTCTGGTGAATTACGGTCGACACATCGTGGCCAAACAGATCGCATTGTATCGAGATCAGAAAAATCATCACAATCATTCGAATTCACATCCGAACCCAGATTACAGTGCAAATCAATTGAACAACGGGATGCGCGTGTTCCTCGGCAAAACAGATTCGATGTTGGCTGCGGGTGTGAAGTCCGCGAAACCGAATGATCCCATGGTCAAATTTGGGAGTCATGGAAATGGTAGTTGTGAGACCGTTGAAGATGAAGGTCCACACTGTCGACGTTGCCGGAATCACGGCGAAAGTAATCCATGGAAAGGGCATAAGAAAACCTGCCCGTATCGGTGTTGTATTTGTCAGCAATGCATACTGATATCTTTGCGGAAATCGAATGAGAAGAATCTGCGTAAGTACAAGAGTTATTGACACGTTTGAAGTATGCAGCTTTTAGTACCCGTAACGAGCTTTCCACAGTAGCCGACAGCGAGAGATGTTTTAATTTGAACTTGAAAGCACTAGCTACCTGGCACGATTAGCTTTAATTTCTCAATTATTTGCTTCCTATTTCTGTAAAAATTCCACTATAGTGTCATATTTTATATGATAGGCTAATACTGACCGTTATAATCTGGATTGCATACACTTTTGGAGAAATGGTCCAAAATAAAAAAGGAATGTTCTCGGTTGAAGTAGTGATGATGAAAATGATGCTGATAGTGCTGATGATGATGGTGACGATGATGATGATGATGATGATGATGATGATGATGATGACGATGATGCTAATCATGATGACGACGATGATGATGATGATGGTCGAACTGCATTTTTAAAACTACCCGAGGAACGAAAATAGCTTTCTTTTGGGTGTTCTTTCACCTGAAACATTTTAAGATGCTGAGGTGCTGAAAACAGTCAGATAGTTTGTGACATACATTATTTTCTAAGTGACAACAACTTTCCCATTTTTTTGTCTGCCGTGCAGGTGAAGTTGTGCAAGAGTTTGTGGAAAGTAATCCAGATCGACGACAACGTCCATCTCACAAGACGTCAAAACTAGATCCCGCAAACAAGAGTTATTCAGTGACGACTAACGTGTCAACTCACTATTCCACTCCCCCTGTGTCAGTGAACACGCACGGTTGCCTACCTGCTTTAACCGGGACTGTGCCCTTTCCCTCGTTCGGATTCAAACAGTCTCATCAATCCCTGTTCACCTATCCATATTTTTGCAAACTATCCGAAGCATACAACAGCGCACGGATC